GCTTCGCACCTCACCTTCATTACCTGTCAGCCGAGCCACTATTGCGCTTCCCGCTTACGAGCGCCTGAAACGTCCGCGGGCAGCTCCAAATGAGCTCTCCCCGTCACTCCCTTCGCCGAGCTCGCCCCGCAGCACAATGAACGCACGTTTGATGCCCGGGCTTGAGAGGCTGACGTTTGAGTCGACTATAATTGGTGCTGCCGCAGCTTCTCCACTCCTTGCTGCCTTTGGCTCGCGCTTACCGCTTTGTGTGAGGTGTCTTGGAACTCTTTCTAACTTATCTTGACACTTTTGCTTACTCTTAAGAATGGAAACCACAAAAAAAAAGAATAAATTGCAGCGGACAATATCCTGCAGAAGTGAAAGTTTTCTGGGCGTTGATGAGTTACACAACCACTAGAGAGGGCCACATTCATTCCTATGTTGTGTTTAAAGAAATACGTTGACATGTAAAATGTATGTCCTTTAAACCATGATTAATTTTACATGCATTTAAAAAAAATGTGCATGCTCAGTGGCCCGCGTAGCTGGAAAGGTGTTGGGATGATGTAGGGGGCCTTCGGAAATACGCTCTGAGCGCGCTTTGCCTGACTTTGAAGGTTTAGAGGAGTTATTTTGGTTCTCTGCCTCATTTGTGTATGTAAACATCAAAACTTGGTTTTTAATCACCTGACGACATCCTGAAGTTGTACCTGACCATTTGCTGTACTCCAATCGACTTCTACAGTGCCTTGAGAAAGTATTCATACCCCTTCTGCCGCCCCTTCAAATATAGATTTTTTTGTATTTTTATTTTTTATTTTTTTTGTCGTTGCCCTCCAATAGGGTTAAGATCAAGGGATGGCAAATATTTCTCAACTGTGGGCTTGTGAAGCCCTGTGAGACGATATTTTGTTGAGAGTTTAGGTGACAGACCCACACAAAGTAACACAGAACTCCACGTTTTGCACATCTTTATCATTTCCATTACGCTTAACTGTTGTGTGCCACTTTGTGTCATGAAAAAAAAACCCTCAAGGGATATTAATACTCTTTCAAGGCAGTTGTAGGGTACCGTACCACGGAAATACGTCCCCCATCCAACAGAAGGCTGGTGAAAAATTTGAAGGTTTCTCTGAGTTATTCTGGTTCTGCCCCCCAACTCCCCCGTCCTCCATCTTGCTCCCCCCCACCCCCCGCCAAATAATCAATAACAACACCAGAATGCTATTTCTCTGCTCTGAGGGGGCATGGCATCCATCAGGCGTAATGGCCCACTCGCAAGTCCTCCAGGGACGGATCTGGACGTCGGGAAAGGAGCAATTATCGGCTGTGTTACGCGTGAGCGGCTTCGGCCCTGTGAGCGGCGAGAGCGCGAAGCCAATCGGGGAAAACAACCTGGCGATCATGTGCGTTACAGTCCTGGGCCTTTTCTACCTCTGTTTAATAACCTACTTGATATTATGAGAGGACTGCAATAACAAGCAACGATGATAAACAAAGACACGACATCAAAGTATCCAAGGCCTTTCCGTAATGTAAGGGTAACATTGTGTGGTAGTAACACCCGACGACAGCTGTGCGACAATGTGCAGAGTCATCGAGCAGACATAAAATGATCAGTGGTGCGATACAATCTCACGACGGTTGTGCGGTTGGCGCAGATAATCGTCGCACCATTTTTTTGGGGGGGGGAGTGACTTTGGGTGTGCAATCATACAGAAAGTCGAGTCACTCCAATTACGATACATGCAAAATGCTGCTCCGATGCAACACAATTCGCTGCAGTTGAGATCGAATTGGGAAAATTTGGTTCTTGTAGCGCTTGCATATATGAAAAAGAAGCTATTTGGCTCGCAAATATACTAATCCATCACAAGAGATCGTTTGCTGTCTGCGTATTATGTCCCAAGCAAAAGCGGTGCAGCTGTTCCATGCAATCAAAAAACGAAGAAAAAAAACCCCAAAACAATTAAATGAAATGTTCCTGCAACCGTTTCATTCGCCGCTATGCCTGTTTTCATGCCTCTCTCGATGTGTTCCTCCAATGAGACAAAATAGCCCAACGGCGATCATAACCGCGTCCGTCTAATCAACCAGACAGGGAAGGTTGTTGTGCTCCCGGCGCTCGGGGAAGTACAAAACGAGCAATTTCAAGCGCATCAATGATTCATGCGAGCCGGAGACGTGAACAATGTGGATTGCTGCTGATTTATTAGCAAGACGGGAATGTTTTGTTTAGCCTCGGCCACACACTGGATGCTTTGCTGGGAATAGGACGCACGGCTGCGGATGTGAGGAGCCACAACGTGGCTTAAGTCACATAACGCCCGTTGTTATGACTCACCACTAAGAGCTAGTTAAATAAATCCAAGCTGTCAATACTCTACTACCTGGAATAGGTCACGTGACTCAATCCATCCATTTTCATTTCAACAACTGAACGGGATCATTGCATGGGCGAGCTGACGCCTATTCCAGCTGACTTTGGGCGGAAGGCGGGCGCAGGGCACATAAGGAGACGGAACGACCATTTGCACCCACATCCACACCGTCACAAGGCGGTAAACCGATCCGATGCCGCCCGTACGCAACTGAGGCGAGTGTTCCACGACACCGTCGGCGACCACATGACTCCACTTATTCGGTTTCTCATTCTGAATAAGTCATGAGATTGCAGTTATTAGGGCAGCCCGCCTGGAATAAATCAAAGCAACTCCGGGCCCTCCTCTTGGATTAAAAAACATGATTCCAGCTGTTTGGCTGTTCACTCTGAAACAAAGTCAATCAACCAAGTGTTCGGATCCTGGAATGACTCAAATGACTTCAGTTGTTAAGATGTGCAGTCAAGATGAAGTAACCAAAAAAAAAGAATATCAATTTGTTAGGACTCTCCGCCGGGAATGAAAAAATTATTTTTTTAAAAATTCATTCTAAATTATTTTGTCATTTAATGTTAACTGTTCTTTTGATGGCGGAGCGGGCACCCGCAGCGGCTCCTCTCTCTTCTGAGGAATGTAATTTCATCTGTGCTGTACAGTTGCACATGTAACACATTTGACAATAAAGTTGACTTGACTTGATCAATCCAGATGTTGGGACTGTCCAGCTGGAATAAGTCACGTGACTTAAGTCGTTACAATTCTTTGCTTGGAATAAATAAAAAAATAGTTTGAGGATGATCCTCCTGGAATAATCACATGATTACAGTCGTGGGGACTCTAACGCTTGGAATACGTCAAATAACGCCACTTGTTCGGACGCTTCGAGCTGAAATGGATCAAGTGACGTTTTAACGTTTTTCTGGGAATAAAGTCAAACTAATCCAGATAGATAGAACTCTTCACCTGGAAAATTTCACAACTTCTGTTGTGCGCCATCTCAATGAAGTAGTCAAATGTCTCCAGCTGTACGGACGTTCCACCTGGAATAAGCCGTAAGGATTCAACTCTTGGATTAAGTAAAACAACGCCAGTTAGGATGCTCCGCCTGCAATGAATCAAGTGACTCCAGTTGTTTTTTTTTTGTTTTTCTTCGAAAAGTCAAATGAATTCAGTTGTTCTGACGCTCCGCCTGGAATAAATCACAAGACTCCAAATCACCCCAGATGTTAGGACGCCCCACTTGGAAGAAGTCATAAAAGTCCAGGATTTAGGCCACGCCATCTGGAATAAGTCAAATCAATCTCGTTGTCAGGACGGTCCGCCTGGAATGAGTCAAACGACTGCAGGTGAGATGGAGCGTCTTGTTTCTCAGTAATAACCTCCCCGAAGAGAGCGATTGGTGGCCAGCGAGGCGATGCTTCTGGAGGCACGAGGAGCTCTGCGAGGCGTTTAGTGGCCCCTGGGTACAAATAGAACTTCCAGCCTACCTCCGCTGCAGCTAAGCTACGCTTTCGAAATGCTGCTGCTGCCAGGTGCGGGGAGGGGGGGGGGGGCTGCCCTAAGGGGGCAAAGACCGCCAGGACCTCATTAGCGCCATGTTTCATCAAGCACCAAATGGCTCCCGTTGCTTCCATATAGCCCCCGTTACGTTTTTTTTTCATGAATCGGATGATCAGCGTTCACCACTCGACTATGATCGTTCTCGCCAGTGTTTGTAATGTGGCTAAAACACAATGTAAATAAATGTCACTCGATTGGCATCGTAAAGAGTTTCCCGCCGTGCATCTCACTGACTTGCAGCGCTGTGAAAGAGAGAAAAGCGCATCGAGCAGGTCGCGTAGCGAGACGGACTCAGAGCAGGTTCTAGCCTACAGTTGTGTTGTATATTTCACAATATTTTGTGCCGCTGATATATCGCGGTCACTGACACATGTCAAGTGGGACACCAATTCCGTGCTACTGTTAGGCAATGGTGCTGCTATAAATAGATATAAATAAATGAGCCACCCCCCACCCCCTCCCCACCCATGGATGTGTGCTTTGAAACAGAAATGGCCACACAATCCGTCCTCCGTCCACGACCTGAGTACCCTTCCGTCATCGTCCTTCCGCCCTTATACACGTAATAATCGTCCACTGTCCTTGTCCTTTTCAACTCATTCACTCCCAAAGACGTTTTGAAACGTCTTTTCAGACTTGGTCTAGAATTGGCTGGTACTGAATGAGTTAAAGTGCTTCCGTCCCAAAAAAAAAAGATCATCCGTGCATGACGTTGTAGGAGAGGCATGGGGGGGGGGGGGGGAAATAACAACTTAC